GTGGAAATTTTAAATAAAATTTATCTCATCCAACTTGTGTCTAGTTTAAAATATATCTACTTCATGCTACTAGGTGTAGCACAAATGTTAGGGTTGATTTAAATATCTCTTTTTGAGTATAACATAGATTTCGAAGTTAACATATCAAATTTTTATCTAGTTTAGCACTCAATAGGCTTATCAAATCCAATTTTCACTTGTCTATCGCACATGTTAGGCACTTAAGCTTGATGTCACCACTTCTCCCACAGCTGACACCCTCTATGATTAGCATCATGTTAGTTTGACCTAGCTTCCTTTTATGCTATTAGGCCAGTTAATGCGAACACGTGCAGTGTTCCTTAAAATAACACCACATTTATTGTTGAGTCCATTTGATGACCTCTCTTTTATACCAGCTTTAAGTTAACTAGGTTCAATGTTGGTCAAATTATATTTGCGTCCTGTAATATTCGTGGCAATAGAGAAATATGAAGTTTAACGTCTTAACATTGCACAAAGATCTAGCACACAATCAGATAAGAGAGAGGGTGTAGCGTTCATAAGAGATACTAAAGTTTTTATCTGGAAATCCTGAAAAGGGGGAAAAATCAAGGGACCTGGCCCAGTTTGAATGAATCCACTAGTATTTGCAGTCGGTTACAAATGAGGCCCTTCTTAGGGAGAAGGCCTTGGCTTGATATCACAAATGTACATCATATATAATGCATTACATGGTGTGAGTTACAATAATCAACATAGACATGTTTGTTTGGTCGGCATGACCATAGTTTATAGGATAAATGTTGAAAATATCGTAGTAGGCAGGAGACCGGGGTCAGAAATACCATTCTGCGGTGATGTAGGTCGGAAGGACCGTAGTATGCAGGAGATCGAGGTCAAAGAGACCGTTATCTGGCGATGTAGGTCGGGATGACCGTAGTAGGAGACGAAGGCCGAAAGTACCATAGTCAGTAGGAGACAAGGGTCCAAAATATCGTAGATGGCTAGAGATTGGGGTTAGAAAGACCGTTGTAGTAGGTCAGTACTCTGGTAGAACTCTATGCATCAGGTGGTGGTCCGACAGAAGTTCGGGCCTCAAGTGATGGTCCGACAAAAGTTCGAGCCTCAGGTGGTGGTATGACAGAAGTTCGGGTGTCAAGTGGGGGTCCGACAAAAGTCTGGGCCTTAAATGGTGGTTCGGCGGAAGTCTGGGCCTGAGGTAATGGTTCGATAGAAGGTCGAGCCTCAGATGGTGGTCTGGCAGAAGTTCGGGACTCAAGTGGTGGTCTGGCAGAGCAATGATGTCAGGTGGTGGTCCGACGGAGCTCATTCCCTCAAGTGATGGTCCGACAGAACTCCGACGTCAGGCGGTGGTTCGACAGAGCTCAGGCCCTCAAGTGGTGGTTCGACGAAGGTGAGTACCTCAAGTGGTGGTCCGGCAGAGCAACGACGTCAAGCGGTGGTCTGACAGAACACAGGTGTCAGATGGTGGTTCAGCGGAGCTCAGGCCCTCAAGTGGTGGTCTGGTGGAGGTGAGGGCCTCAAGTGGTAGTTTGGTGGAGCAACGACATCAGGCGGTGGTCCGGCAGAACTCAGGCGGTGGTCGAGGAGAAGTGAGGAGGAAGGAGCGATCTCCGATCTCTCTCTTGCTCTCTTGCTCTCTTGCTCGGAGCCCCTCCTTTTAAAGAGAAAGGATGTGTCTATTTATAGATTTTTTGGGGTGGCATGACCTATAAATAGGTGATAGATCAAGGGTAAATGGGGAGTGGTTGGATGGACGGCTGATATTGAATCCCATGATTATGGACCATTTATTAAACATTTAAAGGTCTTAATGATGTTGTAAAGGACGGCTGATATTGAATCCCTTGATAATGGACCATTTATTAAACATTTGAAGGTCTTAATGATGTTGTAATTCAGCGATCTTGGGCTTGTTGGATTTGTCTCGTCAAGCCACTCGATTCAACTATAAGCACGTAATGTTTGGAAACTATTTGGTAATCCAAATTGTGGTTTTAAACTTCTAACGATGCTTCGGGTCCTTGATTTGGACTCATTTAGTCTTGGATTGAGTCAAATTTGGTCTTGTTGGGTTCATATTTCCGAGACATTCAGTTTGACTATAAGTTTGCTGAAATCAGAGTTTGGATGGTTCCAATTTTAATTTTGGAAGTTTTCAACTTCATTTTGCATAGAGATTCGTGCTCGATCAAGATAATTTATTGAGGATGTATCAATACTAATTTAAATTGATCCCCAATATATACACATATACAAAAAACTCAAAACTAGTCAATTTACACGTCTACCACTTAAAATTATATATTAAATCACATAACATTAAATTATTTAAATAACACCATAAACACCTAAAAAACGCCACTTTCCTTACAAAGTTATTACCTTGTCATTGATGCATACACCATCGAACCCCTCGATGAACTTCCTAGAAAAATCTTATTGCGATGCACAAGCTACCAATCTCATGATGTTCTTTATAGATAAGTCCTCATCTCTTCTTCTTCCATGACTTTCACATGACATTGATTTCGTTAATCCCTTCCTTTAGCAAGATCCCATTGAAGTATTAACGTTAAGCAAAGTGTAGCCAGTCTATTTTGTTCATATCATGTTGTTTAGTTTCACAATGTTGGCAGCAACTTTGCTAGACTAATCGCGACTTTATTATAAATCTAAGGACCCTCGTGCTTATGCATATCTGATCATTTGCACCCCAAGTTGTTGTTATTGGTTCTCATATGAGTTTGAATGTTATTTAGTTAGCCTATCCAAGATCTCACAAACCAACCTCATTATTGAGCATGATCATATGGAGCTTCACTGTTACAAGTTGTAGGAGATAATTTTTCTCTCCTCTCCAATGTCCTATGAGGTATGCATTTTCATAAATTTCTAGTTGATATTCTTAGGTCATACACCCAATCACCCTTCCTCGCTAGTTCTCTTAAGGAAGTGAGGAAGGGTATATAACCCAATTAAATAAATATTAGGTTAACTTTAGAAGTGCCTCAAAGCTCTATTTGGTGGCAGACCTTATTGTCCAATTATCATTGGTCTCATTTTATCTTATTAGGCTATCTATTTTCCCTCTACTAGCTGACACTTCACTCCACCAATCATCACTTTCTTCTACATCTATAAACCCTCACACTTATGCATTTCGATTATCTGCAGACGAAGTTGTTATCATTGATTCTTGCATGAGTTTGAATGGGATCACTATCTAGCTAGCTTATCCATATTTTTCACGACTAACCTTACTATAGAGCAAGGTCATATGGGTTTCATATTCATAACCCATAGAAGGCACTTTTTCGCTTCTCCCCAATTTCTTCTTAGGTGTGCATTTTTCCAATTGTCCATTTGATATTTTTTTTGTTCTCCACCCAATAACCATAGCTCACTCATCATCATGAGGTATTTAAGATGGTAGGCCAACCCATTAGACATACTCTATGTTAACTTTAGAAGTGTCTCTAAGCTCTATTTAGTGGCAAGACTTAATGTCTAATTACAAGGTTAAGAGACTTTATTCGACAAGTACTAAACATTCTTGACATAATCAAATCATCATCATCATCTCGTCTTGATTGCTTCATTGTTGTACCTCCTACGAACATGAAAGAATTTGTGCATTACTGATTTTTGTGAGATGTTATCTAGTCATCTCACATTTAAATAATTTGTCATCTTTCACAAGAGAATATACACTACCAAACTATAGGTTGACCTTTTCGCCTTTATCTTCATGTTAACTTCTTAACTACCATGTTGCTTGAGTATTCATTAGAGCCACATCTCTTTGATCATGACTCTCATTGTCAGCTCATGTTCTCATTACATCCTTATCGACATCTTTGAACTTCGCAAGGTTAACCCTAATCGTGTTTGCCCATTGGGTTGAGTTGTTAATGCTACTCAGATTGTCAAGTCAAACCCAATAATCCCTCAAACCCACCACCACAAATGCAATTTGGGCGAAGTTAACAACGAACCACCATTGTGCCTAGGGGTACTAATAAATAACCTAATATGATAACCTGACACAAGTGCGACTAAACAAAACTTAGTTCTAATTGACCCAATTACTATATAGATCATATTTATAGACCTAAGCATTATTCGGGTCTGATTCAAGTTGACTTAAAGAACTCGAAATCAACTCTAAATTAACCCAACAACCACTCAAATTCTCATTTTGAAAAGCTAGAAACACATTATTTAAACAAACATGTATGCTATTAGGTTAAATAGGTCATATTTAACTAAACTAAATCACATTGATTCAAAAAATTAAACTATCCAAACTAATTGGATTTGGGTTAAACATTTTACCATATAATAAACAAATTGGTTTCAAGTTAAACATATTTAAGTTGGGTCACGTCCGAACCCGACCCATTAACATAAATTAACACACCTACTTATGCCATTTGGTCTTCATTCTTTCAGCCCTAAAACCTAATGACTTCCGACCTTTCAGATCAAATCTCGTTAATATATTTATATATTGCACAAATAAATCTAAAATGAAAAAAAAAATTATGTGTTGGAATTTGGAAAATTTAGATTCTTTAAATATTATAAAATCACCAATGTCTGTCATATTTTTGGAGTCATATTATATTTAGGCCCGGTTTGATTCGACGTTTGAGTAATCGGTTCAACTTGTGACCGGGTCAGCCGAACCGAACACCCGGTCCGACACCGAGTCGCACCTGACAACGTGGATCGCAAGGCGGAATTAAAGATTTGGTCAGCCCTTGCTCAAAACATTTCATCCTATGCTCATACGTGATCTCGCTATTCTTCCCATACACCAAACAGTTTACTGGACCTCTCCGCGTCTTCCAAGTAATCATTTATTACTGCGTGGGCTCCGATCAGATTCTCCGTCTTATTCTCCTTCGGCTTCTTCTTCGCGGCTTCATTCTCTCTGCTTCGGTGTTCCTGGCCACCGCAACGCGGCTCGGAAGGATTCCTGCTTCGATCTACGGCCGGAGTTGGCTCGTTCTAGGAGAGTCGGCCGGTGAGTGAATTTGGGTCGTAGTGGCGATACCGTAACCATTCTTGTTTGCGGATCTGATTCAGTTTTCTCGTTTCTTTTCAGTCTCGGTATAGAGTTAGGTTTGTTCTATTTCTTTATGTTAGGGTTGATTTGAATTAGGTGGGATGGTATGGTCGCGCCCTTGTTCTCCTGCTTTTGTTTTGTATTGTTGGTTTGGTTTGCTTAGAAATGATTGACTAATGGGGTGCAGGTATTTGATTTTCCTACAAGCTTCCAACTCATTGCATTATTTGTTTCTTTTTAAATCGCATTTAAGTTGACGGGGAAAGTTTGCTGGTTTTCCGATCTGCTGGTGAAGGTAGCGAAGATGCTTCTATTGTTCTTTTCCTTTATCGCTATGGCTATGAAGGGGGACGCTTGCTCAGTTCATTTATGTGCTTTTGTTTGATTTGTATTTTCTCTTTTGGATTCTAAGAGCTTATTTTGGATTAATATTGACTATACTATTGTACTGTTTTTTTATATAAATAGTGTAAACGGGGTTTCAATTGTGTTTATTAAGGTAGGAGGGTTTGGAAGAGATGGCCCGTTCCTTGAATGCTGTTTATACTTTTTTATTTTTTATAAGCTCGAATTTGCTGAACATTAGAGAGGGTCCTCTTTCCCTTGTTTAGTTTTTAGAAGATTGGTTATAGCCAGTCCGGTCCATTTGTAGACATGTCAATTTTGATTGATGTTGTCAGTTAATGTGTTCATGTGGTCATTTTCTGTATTGACGATCAGATACTTTGCGTTGTTGTTTCAACCTGTTGAAGTTTTTATTTTGGATAAGTCGGCTGTGTTTTTCATTTAAATACCATTTCAGAGCTTGATTATTGAGTTCTATTGTTTTAGGATTCGGAGGAGAGATTTTTGTTGGTTTCATGCTTCTAATATATTGATCTTGTTTTCTCTTTCTGGGCATGAAGGAAATCTCTTTCAATCAACCTCTTTAATTCTTGAAATTTATTTAATTCATTGCCAAATTTTGATCAAGCAGCTCAAATATCTACTGATTGTTCAGATGGTTTTAGGGTTGTTGCAGCTACTATGATGCACAAGAATGGGAAAGGGGCAACTTTTTTAAAAATTTTATTTGCAAAGAATTGTTAATCTAAGCTTAAGACTATTGCAACTCGGATATTTTGTAGTTAGTTCTTGGTTCAATATATGTAAAGAGTAGTTTGTGTCAAATTTTAGTTTTGATGATTTGGCTATTAATATCTTGGGACAATTGTTCAGATTGATGGTGAAATAGATGAGGATATTATTAGTAGAATTCAATTTGGATGGTTGAAGTGGAGGAATGCATCTGGCTTATTGTGTGATAGAAAAGTGCCTCTCAAACTTAAAGGAAAATTCTATAAGTTGGTGTTGAGACCTGCAATGATTTATGACGGAGATTGTTGGCCATTGAAAGAGAAGCATAATATTAAGTTAAGTGTTGCAGAGATGAGAATGCTTAGGTGTATGAGTGGGTTTACTCTTAGAGACATGATACGAAACGAGCATATATGTGAACATGTTGGAGTTGCTCTAGTGAAGATAAGATTAGAGAGAGTCGCCTTTGATGGTTTTGTCACTTAAAACGGCGGCCTTCTGATGACCCGGTTAGGAGAGTAATTGTATTAGATTTGATTTATGTTAAGAAAGTTAGAGGTAGACCTGATAAGACTTGGTTAGAAAATAGTAGAAATGACTTTTCTTTATTTTATTTAAATGAGAATTTTACTCTTAACATGACACAATGGAGAAAATGATTCATGTAGCCGACCACATGTATTGGGATAAAGGCTTGATGTTGTTGTTGTTGATGATTTTGCTATTGATGTTGGTTGTTAGTGTTTAATTGGCACTAAGGCTATTTCTTCAAAACTTATAGCGCAAGAATTTATGTATCTTTCTTGGCTTTTATAAAACTCTATTGCTTTTGCAGAGCTAATTAATATCATATGGTGGTAACATAGAGGTGATGAAGACAGTAAAGGCCTTCCATTCTTTAAAAGATGAAAGGGCCAAGTTTAAATAAGCTGAGAAGTGTAAAACTTTCAATATCTCTCATAGCATTAATTTGTACAACTCTTCTTATATGGGCATGGGAAAAAACCCCTCTTTTAGCTTCTGTTCTACCGCCTTCGGATCACTTTGATGTCCGCTTGGGCATTTCCTTTCCAGGTTAGTTTCTCGGAAATCACATATATATTCCATTTATTTGAGCTTTGTATGCAATCTCACTATTTTCATATATTTTTTGTGTATTATGACTCTTTATTGTTTTTTGTTATTTAGGTTTGTGTTTTCTGCTTGTTGCTTTTATATTTACTCGTTTATTTACTTTGTTGTTTCTCTAGTGTGCATCACCTAATACTTACGTATTTATGAAAAATAACTCTCATGTGTTGCTATTTATGATAATATCATTCAAATCTTGAAGAGTATAATAGAAGTTATAGAACTACAAACTTTCATTCTCAATGATTTGGTTTTCAAATCCAAATCCATGAGTTTGCTAGTTTATTTTGAATGCTTAGGTGTTAATCATGTAAATAAGGAAGATTTCCGTGGCACACATGTAAATTCCCCTTTTTTCTGACTCATATTATTTATCTACCTATGCAGTGATTCCTTCAGAAATTCCTGTGAGTCATTTTGATTTTGAAGAGAAGCAGCATCCAGCAGAGGATGATTTCCCAAAAGCACAGACACTTGCTGAACCTGTTACTGATGTGATACAGCATGCTAGCGAGAATGCAAATGCTAAGATGGCTCATGATGCAGTCAATCCACTGGCAGAGCTTGGTTTTCCTCCTCCTTCAGGTGTAGCTCTTGATGACAAAGGTTCAAATACAGCGTCTGACAAGAAGAAAGGTTATTCTCTATAACATGCTTTATTTGTTTTCATTTTTAAATTCATGAACTGAAAACATTCTATTTTTAATACTTTCCATTATTAACCATCCATTTAAACTTTGTCAAATCTGCTTTAGTTTCTTCATTTTGAACCATTGATATTTTTTGAATGAAGTCATAGGAAGAGTTCTTCGTGAATTTTTCTGTGGAACTAATACCCTGAATATTTTTTTATTGGTGATTCTGTAGACTGCAATTATGCCAAGGGAAAATGGGTTGCGGATAAGCGACGACCATTGTATTCAGGTTCTGGCTGCAAGAAATGGCTCTCTGAAATGTGGGCTTGTAGATTGACCAAACGGACAGACTTTTCATTTGAAACTTACCGATGGCAACCACAAAATTGTGAAATGCCAGAATTTGAGGGATCTGCATTCTTGAACCGGTATGTTTTAGCTCTAGAAACGCTGATTTCATTTGGATGTACCATTCATTTAGATTAGATTAGTGATCTATTTTCCAGTTGTGAGTTTTTCTTCCTATGGCTGAAACAACAGTTGTGTTTATCATACCAATGTTGTTGAACTCCAGGATGCAGCACAAAACTCTTGCTTTTGTAGGGGATTCCTTAGGAAGACAACAATTCCAATCCATGATGTGCATGATCACTGGTGGTAGAGAAACTTCTGATGTGGAAAATGTTGGAAAGCTTTATGGCCTTGTTAAAGCTCGCGGTGCTGTAAGACCTGATGGTTGGGCCTATCGCTTTCCGAGAACTAACACAACAATTCTTTACTACTGGTCAGCAAGTCTCTGCGAGTTGGAGCCTCTGAACCAATCAGATCCAGCTACTCATTATGCCATGCATCTTGATCGCCCTGCATTTTTCCTAAAGCATTTTCTTCCTCGGTTTAATGTTTTGGTGCTTAATACTGGGCACCATTGGAACAGGGGAAAACTCATAGCTAACCGGTGGGAAATGTATGTTGATGGGAAGCCAATTGCGGATAGGAAACTCGCACAGATAGCAAATGCCAGAAATTTTACTGTTTACAGTATTGTAAAATGGTTGGATTCGCAGCTTCCACTTCATCCAGGACTGAAAGGATTCTATAGGTCTATATCTCCGAGGCACTTTTTCAATGGAGACTGGAATACTGGTGGCAGCTGTGAGCATACTACTCCATTAGCTGGTGGAAGTGAGGTTACTCAAGATCACTCTAGTGATGCTGTCGCTGAGCGTGCAGTGATGGGAACAAAGGTTAAGCTTTTGGATATTACTGCTTTTTCACAATTGAGGGATGAATGTCACATATCCAAGTATAGTATGAAAGCTTCTACTGGCGTACATGATTGCTTGCATTGGTGCTTACCTGGTGTGCCTGATACATGGAATGAGTTACTTTATGCACAAATATAAAGCATCATTCTAACACGAACTTTGGTTTGAGTCTTAAACACGGAGTAATGTAATTGAGAAGATACGGAGATGTCTTGATTTGTGATTGGCTTTCTTATTGTTTGTTCAACTTATGAAATGCTTGTGAGCTGAGCTGCATTCTCATACTTGACTGGCTTTCTTTTGGAAGGCAGCAGAAGCCAGTGGCTGTAGAGTAGTGATATTCAACGGGACAGATTCATAAAGAATGAATTTTTTTTTGTGATAAACATATTAGTACTGGCTGCATATGCTTGCACTTTGATCATTATGAAGGTGCTCCTTTGTTGACTCTGAAGATTTTCTTACCAGACGTGAGTCCATCAACAGGCCTTCAGTATGCTGGAGATATTTTTGTGACTATGATAAAAAGAGTTCCTTCTAACTTAATCTTGTAGTATTTGTCTTACAAATGAAGAACTACTGTGCTTCTATCCGCTTGCTGTGAGTTTGTTAACAAATGCGGAGTTTTGGAAACTATTCATTAAGTGGAATAACATGTATGAAACTACTCCCTTTTTTTTTCCCTGAGCTTTTTTTCTGAATTGCACACTTGTAAGTTGTCATCACATGTTTCAGTAAATTTGAACACAAAGAGGCCAACCAACCCTATTTTATCTCCGCTTCTCTTTTGAAGAGTTGGTTTGCATTTAAGTACTGACACGTGCTTAGTTTTGATTGGTAGTGTATGATGCTTTTTAGTTTGCAAAAGCTTTCTTGTCAAGTTTTTGAATCAACATTCTCTTTTTAAGGTCTAGAGTTGTTTATAGAACGGTTTTTTGTAGATTTGAACACAGAAATAAGCCAAACAAACCTTTGCATTAAAGTATTGACATGCACCTAACTTTCTACACTAATGCATGACTTTTTAGTTTATGAAAGCTCTCAGCTCAGGCGCACTAGCCATTTATTCTGTTCTTATGGTGTAGAATTATGTTTTAGGATGTTTTTATGGCCTATTTATTTTGGAGATGAATTTTAGGCAAGAGATGTGAAATTGCTGATATCAATGAGCATATGCTCTAATGATTTATACTGATGTAGCCTCAGCTCTGTAAATCATTTGTGTAATGATACCATCTTGGTGCTATACTTTCAAGCTTTCATTAAACTTGAGTACTTCTCCGTGTTGAACTTTGGAGCTTCTAAGGATTCAACATTCAATTATGTTGCTAGCTTACTTTCAATCTTTCAGTTCCCATTTTGGATGGTACTTTTAATTGACTCACCTGACTTTCATCCATGGCGTACTCTCTCTCTGTCTCTGCGTTGATGTGTTTATATTTTGACAAACTACTTATTTAAAAGATATACATGTTTATAATTGTACTTTCAACAATTCATTCGGGCAGAAATGCAATAATTTTTTTTTAGAAAAATGCTCTCTTTTATCTCCTTGGTAGTCTGAAGTATTTGAAGATTAGCTATGATGTTGATTTTTTGGCCAGAAACAATTACCAATTTCTTCTTACATCTTTCTGTCTGCTTGTTTGTTTCATTGCAATTTATGTTATGATATTGAATGAAAAAACAATGACAGAATATCCAACTAAGCAATGCACTGCTAGCGAACACATGAAATGACAATGACAGAATACCCAACTAAGGATTGAATCTTTTGGGCTTTTGAATACTGATCTTAGGATACTTACGATCAAAAGTTATGAAGGTAGGATTTCTTAATATAAATCTAAGATGAGATGCATGAAATTATACATACAAGATCAATTTTATAGTTTGCAAACTCAACCAACAATAATTTAATGATCGCAAAATATAAATTTTGTGTATAAATTTAAGACCAATAAAACCTCACGTTGATCGGAAACACACACCACAATTGAAAAGGAATAAGATTGGATTAGATTTGAATATGTTTAATCACTCAAGTAAATCAATCAGTAGTTTTAGAGAATAGAAAGATGGGAAGGAAAAGTAATCACTAAATAATATTCCATGCATCACACCGAGAGATAAAGATAACTTTCTTTGAAAATTTTACTTGTTACTTGTGACATATTGGGAAGATCCACATCCAATTAGCAACTAGAACATAAGTTAGAGATAGAGGAAGAAATTTCATCAATCATTCAATCCCCATTGCATGCCTCAAAGATCCTTTTTATAATTACAGAAAATTTCACAATATCATAGAGTTGGTAAAGGATTTGAAAGTGGATAGGGTTAGTTGCAGAATGCAGATACCTTTGTCATAGATCATCGGCACTATGAACATAATACTAACATAACAATTAACGTCCCAAAACAATAATACTCTACTAAGCTCATAGCAAAGTTAAAAGCCCAAAGAAGTAGCCTAGTGATATGCTTAATGCCCATCTAATTGAAGTCCAAAATTGTAGACCTGCTTATGGACAAAACCAAACAGAGACTAAAGGCTTGTTTGAGGTGATGTTTTAGCTGTTTTGGTTTACAAAACCGAACCATATAATTGTTTTTGATAGTGCATTTTAGTGGAATCCAAAATATTTTTTTCGTCCAAAATGGAGTAGTAATCAGAATCCTCTTCTTTTATTGGCTGCTTTCCATTGTTTTAAGAAAATATTATGTAGAAAATACCCATATATTCAATATTATTACTCCATATCTCGTTGTGCAAAGGGTCAATAGACTCCTCCATCACGAATGAAACGATAGCATGATTCCCTTAATCTGGTCGAGTTGAATGGCTTCTTGCATGGTATATATCTTCATGTCGCTTGCAATATATCTCATCGGCTACAGTTGTCATCCTCGAGTAGGAGCTCAATCAATGAATTGAAGGGAGACTCAAAGGTATGGCTGGTAACCTTTTCTTCCTTTGTACTCGTCAGCATTGGATTGATGTTTGGATGGTTACGAGACAGAGCTTTAGTAAATAATTTTTAAGTTTTTGAAATTCAATTACTTTTTAATTTCATTATTTTTGCTAGAATCTAGAACGAGCTCATATTAGTTTTATGTAAATTTTGAAAATAGCTATTAGTTATGGGAAAGGAACATGGAGTTAAATAATTTTTAATCTTTTGATGACTAAGTTTTGTAGTTTTGTAGTTTTGAACATTATTAAAATTTATGGTTATTTAAAACACTTACAAAATAGTTATAAATATAAATTTTTATTTTAATTTATCATTTTTTGTTGATACACATACTTCAAGTTTTTGCATTGCAAAATTCTATATGTTGAATCCATATTTACATGGTGGATGATACCCAACTTGACCAACAAATCTATCTGGTGAGCTGACAATCTGTTAGTGAGATTGGAGAGTAAAGAGCGGAGAGAGGAGAGTAATCTGACATAATTTTTACTATCTCAGTTAGAAAATATAAGAAGTGGGACTCAAGATGCCCAAAAGAACAAAAAAAGTAAAAGAAAAAATGCTTAAGGGTCTCCAACTGCTCCTCATCATCCTTTTATTTATAGGGTTTGAGAGCTACAAGAAAGACCATACAGAAGAAAGTAAAAATAAAGGCTACATAGAATTCTAGTACAATGATACACGTTAATCTAGGATACGTATTACCTCCTGATTGGCTCTAAGAGGGTAAAGTCAACAGTCTGACAAGCTATTTGTCGTTGGGGGAGCTCAAGAGAGGCGAGTAGGGGTAGGGTGATTTTGTGGGAGAGTTTAGGAGGAGATGGACCCGTAGCTGACAAATTGTCTTACCAGGTCGGCAATTTTTGTAGGGAGCTCGAAGTCGCCTTGTTGTGAATGGCAAGTTGAGGTGTTTTCTAAGCTTAATAATGGTAGTTAAATGGAGTGTGAAATCTCTGTGATAGGTGCTTTCGTGTAGCTAAATTTGGTGAGTTCGGATGAGTAGGATCTTATTGAGATGAGTGGCAATATGTTTGCTTGGAGAGAAACTTTCTGGTCGCGCAGCGTAGGGCGATCACCTTGGCAGATGTGGGAGGGTAATTCCTGTAGTTCTCCTTGTGTGAGTTCCTTCGTTGCTTCTGGGCGAGTCTTTGAGGGATCTGCTCTTGAGAGGAAATACCCTCTTAAAGACTCAGCCATTACCTGTTAAAACACCTGAGAAAGTGATAATGGGTACACATTTATAGTTCCTCAATTCACTTGGCTTTTGGCAGACGATTCATGAAAAGGACGAGTGAATGAAATTAAAAGCAACTTATCTTTTGTAAAATAGAGAAATAAATGTGAATTTAGCGTCTTATTTTTACTTTATTCTCGAGAACTGTGTTGACTTCACAATAATGACTTCGACGTAGCATCATGCCATATTGGGCTTCTCTATAAACTACTCATTGTGATGAGAGAATCTACAAGTGCTTTGAGAAATGGACTTCCTCACCTCACTTTAGCTTGTTCTCGCGGCTAGTCAAGAAGATGAACTTCTATCAAGGTCAAGCTGGCCAATCTCAAAAGAAAGCTTCAAATACTGTGGCAGCGTCTCTGTGCAGAGAGATCGATAAATATGAGATTTGGTAGCTAGAAGAATATGTGGACCCCCTCCCCCATAGGAGCTGAAGTTGGGGATGCGAACATTGTTGCTGAGGTGTTGATTGTCATCTCTAGAGGCGAGTTGTGTGCTACTGGTGCCCTATTGGCTTGTTCTCAGGATGCTGGTGGCCCTACTAGCGGTGAGTTCTTTAATGCATTTGTCAGAGCACTTGTGGGGACTTAGAATTTTTTTTTTTAAGTGTGTGCATGCTTTTTGATGTATTTGCATGCTCTTTAGTGCGCTTGCACAGTGCATATGCATGTTTTTAATCTATTGGCACATTTTTTATGCACTTAAGCAATACACTTATATGCATTTCAGTGCATTTGCATTGCATAATCGCAAACTCCTTTTTATTTTTGCACGCTCTTCAATGTTGTGGAATGCCTCTTGATATGGCTCATTTAAGTCTGAAAGTTCATATTTAGATCCGTGCAATGATTTTAAAATACTCAAATATAATTGCATAAGCTCTTGTTGTTGGTATTCGCAGAAGATTTTATTTTGATATTTAAAAAAGGCTTTTATCTGCTTGTATGTTAGAGTTGTTGATTCAGTGGTGTGAAGGTAAGGAAGGTGGATTAGGAAATTATCAAAGATATTATTTTTTTAGGGTTAGAGACTTTGCATGTTTTTGTATGAGTCAAACATGTGGTGTTCTTGCCCATAGGGGGTTGTGTTCGTAAAAAGTCTCTTGTTCATGCCCGCAAGCGAATCATTGTGTTCATTGCAAATCCCTCATTCTTGCTCGTAGGTGAATTGCTTTGTTCATTAGAAAACCTCCCAAGTCTTTTGAATTTGCAAATTTTATTTAATTATATTTTGATTTCAAAATATTAAGTTAGGTGGTCCGGTTCCTTGTGTGTGCGCTTAGTTTGAATTTTGGTAGCCTCTCGACTTTCCCCCACAGAAAAAATTATGGAGAGTTTAGGCATGCGCACCATGCCAAGAAAAAACGTGCCTTGTAAGCATTAGGTGACATTGTGGTTGGGTTCTTATATCCCACCATGCTAAGAAAGAGGTGCATGAGTTTTTATCACATGCACTAGCAAAA